ATATTTTATTAGCTCTAGGAGGGCGTTAGTTAACTTTCTCTCGCATATGCACTACGCATTATTCTACTCTGTTGCTGGAACTAACTCTTGTACGTTTTTAGAAACGAAACGTGAAGGTGAAATGAAAGCTTCATTCTAACAAAATCGGACAGGAATTTCCTTTTTGTTTATTTTTTAATTTTGCAAAGATTAGTAATGATATACAGAGTAGCTACCGAGGTTTCGTCACTGAATCGCTTTCAGGCTTCAGTCATGGGGTTTTTGCGAAATGGTTTTTATTAACACAACTTGTAAAGCTAGCTACATCAACCTATTATATGCTAAATACACAGCGGAACACGGTGGGAGGGAGGGGAGGGTGTAGCATATCTAACTCTTTCCCCAGCGCGACGAACATTTGTTTTTCTGGGTTCCAGGTGTACGCGACCACTAACCCTACGTATTTTGCCAGTCGAAGAATAACTCAGTCCACGGTTTTAAACAGCGCCTTTATTGAATCATCGCTTAGAGTAGTCGCGTTCAAAATCCAATGGTGTCTCACAGTTCTTCTGACTAGCAAGTCGTAATACAGTGAATTCCGTTTATGACGTCATCACGTTATGCGATTAGTAATAATTAATTGAAAATTGTGGCCTTAATTAGCTAGCGCAGTAGATAACATATTAAACAATACACTACGTAATGCGCATGCTCTCCGTTGCGAATTTTCAAAATGGCGGACAGGCCAAAGAGGGAAATAAAAAAGCGAAGCGATTTTGCAATAAATACTTAACATACACCCCGTTAGAAAGGCGAATCCACCAAAGAAAGATACAAAACTGTATGATATTGAGATCAGGGAGGTTGACAAAATCAACAAGAGAGATTGAAAATTCATTACGTTGGCTATAGCACATGCTTCGATGAATGGAGACCCCTCAGGGCCGATAGAGGATCTGGACATTTTCCGTTTGTTCGCAGCGAAAAGCTGTTCCTTCCCTCGGAAAACTCTCTAGAGGATAGAAAGAATCGTTCCATGGCCAACTTGCTCGTGAAATAAAGAAAAAGCTTTGGTCTGGACGGCGAGAGGACCCTGATATAAACATAGACCTTAATGTTGACCAAGATGTTTTCATGGAAGGTCTTGGGAGTGTTTTGCCCGGCTTACTTCAAAGAGGGAAGATGGTTTACCAATTGGAGTCAAATAGGGTGCTTGATTCATATCTGGGGCTGAAGTGGGATGAAAGAATTTTAAATGTAGCTGAAGATTTTGCCTATGTAATTCCAGGAACTATTAAGTATTGGCTGGGACAAAGAAGTCCAATCATTGAATACAAGCTCATCGGGGAACAATATGCTAGAACACAAGTTGAAAACAGCTACTCTATTACATTTCAGTTTGTGAGAGGTGATGGTAACAGGAACAACTACCATGCCAACAGATGAAATAACAATCCATTGTTTAAACACTATGTAGCATCTTGGCCAAAAACTTGAGATTCACAATCAAAAGTTCCAATATTATT